TTTATAATTTATCCTCTTAGTACTAAAGTTAAATGAATTAGAATGAGCTCTTTAGTGATGATAAGTTTATTTTTTCAAAATCGAGATAAAAAATATTCGCAGAATATCTTAAAGAAAAACATAAAGATAATCTTCGAATAATATTTCAATTACACGTTTTTTTTTCTTTTTTTCGTAATTGATTAAGGTGTTTGTAGTTTTCAAATAATTGAGTTTCACAACAGCTAGCTTAGAATTAACAGTCAGAGATGTCCATACTAGATAAAAATACAGTGGAATGGTGTAGAGAATGGCGATGATAGCAAGATAGATACGGAAGCGACCATTGTCGTAAAGTGTTTTTTGACCAGTGATGCAACTGCATTTAACAGTATCTCAACAAATATTTTGTCCCATAATTGTTATGCTAGGGTGTGGGTGTGGGTGTGGGTGTGTGGATGTGGGCCCAGGCCAGTCACGCCTGGCCGTAAACGGCCGTTCACCAATCGAATACGGCAGATCACGACGACTGTATACGATAGCTGTTTACGGCGGCCGTAAACGAACCGAATACGGCGAAAAACGACGACTGTTTACGGTAGCTGCTTACGGCTGCTGTACACGATCATTTACAGCATACTACGTCAATCGTACACGCTACCCGCAAAAACTATGCCGTGAACTGCTACCGTAAACGTACGGCGACCGTATACTTTGCTCGGAAAATAACATAAGCCATCGTATACATCAACCGTTTTCGAATGCCGTTTACAGCAATCGTACTGATTCCATTACGCCATTCCACAGCCACTGTAGACATCGGTCGCATACGCTCGCCGCAAACGATCAGCGTGGCAATGCGACCACCGTATACGCAAGTACTATAAAACCTCCCAATACCTCTGTATTAGACGACCAATCAAAGCTTGCACGCTGTATAACCATCAGGAGAGAGGCGAGGACTCACACATATGCCAATCAATCGATAGACCGTCTTCAAGAACCCAACGATCGGCCCGAACATGCCCATATGTTGTCCTTAAAATAAGAGGGAAACATCCTCTTGAAGTTTTATTCGGACCCTTTATTGGAACCCCTATTTCCCTAGTTTTAAATGAAGGACTTGAAGTGGACCCACACATATACCCATCAATCGATAGAGAATCCTCGATAACACTATGACCGGCCCGAACATGGCTATATGTTGTCCTTAAAATAAGAGGGAAACGTCCTCTTGAAGTTTTATTCGGACCCTTTATTGGAACCCCTATTTCCCTAGTTTTAAATGAAGGACTTGAAGTGGACCCACACCCACACCCATCAATCGATAGAGCATCTATCATAACCCTAGAGTCATCCCGGACATGCCTATGTGTTGTCGTTATAATAATTGAGGAGGGGGTGTGGGTGTGGTTGGGATGTGAGTGTCAGTGTGGGTGTGGGGTGTGGGTGCGAGTGTGGGTGGGTGTGGGAGTGGGTGTGGGTCGTTGTGGGTGTGGGTGTGGTGTGGGTGTAGATTTGAAAAAGAACAACAACATCCACACCGACATCCACGCACCTACATTCACGCACCCACCCACACCCATACCTACACCTACACCCACACCCATACCTACACCTACACCCACATCCACACCCACACCCACCCACACCCACACCCACACCCACACCCACACCCACATTTCATTCCCATCTTCAATATATATGGTTGCACCACGGATGTTATTGTAAACATTATTCTCTATGGTCGCTAAATGTGTTTCATGAATGATGGTACCTCGTTGATGACCACACTCAATAGCATTACCAATGATTTTGTAATCAGGGCATTTGTTAATTAAATGTAAGTGTACACAGTATTTTCCTAGAATAGGACGTTGGCCACACTTCTCAATTCTTGTGTATTGTAAAGATAGAACAGAACTGGGGCCAATTGCAATTGTATGCAATCCAACAGTGCATTTATTTCGATTAATATTTTTCCAGCATGAACAGTGATCGGCTTGGATATTATCGCTTGGTTTGCCGTCAGTTACGTCATTCACGCAACTCACATGCTGAAAATCGCCTCCGGTAATCATAGTATTTCGCGGAAGATTAATAACTTCAGCTTGCATGAGAGCAGTCATATTTTCTCCTGTAAAAAGGGCCTTTGATTCGAAAACTGATGATATAATACCACTAGAAGTTCCATCTTTATTAAGTAGTTTTATAGTATTATTAGCTTCAAATCCACCAATCGCGTAATCTTCAGCATTTCCTCTTGAACTAGGCACAGTTGGAGCTACAACGACTCTGTCACCAACTCTCCAGCCCTTAATTATAAGATATTTTTACAGAAAAATAGAAAAGAACATATTCAAAAATTCTATACCAACCATATCGTCAGGATTGTGTAAGAGACTGATTGAACTCGTACCATATATACCTCTATCGGCTAGTAGAGACCACGTTCTAGCAAGAGGACGACCACTAACATGTATTTTACCAGCATTATACGCACCAAAGGCACAAGTATAAACCGAAGTATGCTTCAGGCCATTATTTTTAATGTAAATATAACCTTGTTTACTCGTTAGATTCATGTTGCATTGTTCGCCATTGACCTGCAAAGAGAAATACTCAATATCTCAATATCTGGTTAAATTATACAAAAAATATCCTACAGCAATATAACCAGCACACAACCATTGATCACTCGAAGTTTGACTGACATCGTTCCAACTTAATGAGCCGCTCAAAACTAAAGCAACAACATTCAGATTACTATTCATTGTGACTGTAAAGCCGGCTGGTATGGTGCATATCGTTTCGGTACCACAGAATATTTGTAAATCAGATGATAACATTGAAGTTGTTATTGATTTAACTGTTGTCGCTGTTACTTGATTTTGGTTCTTGCATGCAGTTGCTAAGCCTTGAGGAAATGGTACAGAATAAGAATCTTTTATTAAAGTGCTGAAAGCATCAATGTATGCTGTTTCATCTTGTTGAGATAAAGCTTCAAACACGCCATTTGTCTGCATTAAACATTGTGGAACGAAAAAGAGTTCCAAAAGGATTGATATTAAAAATACAAAAATATATTTACTCATCTGCAATTAGCAAGAAAAATATTATGCATATGAATTAATACTATGTGCATTTAATGTTATAAATATTTTTTATGAACCTATTATAAAACCTCGGTAGAAAAAATCAAATATAATTATAGGATTATTTGCCTATGATAAATATAAGTTTTGTAAATTCATGCATCAAAAATAAAATCCTTTTTGATACCGATAATGTCAATACAATTGACATGTGATAAATATGTGAATTTCCGCTTTGTAAATCTACACTGTAAAACAGATCCGTTTTCGGAAACCATTTCTATAGATCTGAATGTGTAAACGATTCTCCAAAATACCTGAATGAATTTTGAGCATTCTAAGATATCAATTTTGTTAGCCACGAACTATTCTAAGACACATTTGTTCTCTGTTTGGAAAAGTAATCAGTATATCCTGAAACCATGAAGATATTGTAAGAAACCTGTAGTACCAAAAGAGTAAACAAAAGCTGCAATAAGTATACAGAAATATTTTTTCACATCTGCGAAGCTAGCTCGGAAACTTTAAGAAATTTTGCCAGACTCCTGAGTAAGAAAACAAAACACCATAGAAAATATTCATGCATTTTCGCTTTTCCAGTCGACAACTTGAATATATTTTGCAAAGTTAAGAGAATATGAGAATAGCTTACGCTTTAAAAATGAGTCTATAAGCTTTTTCGTTTCAAACTGAATTTTTAAAACGAGAAGAGTACTGCTGCTTTACTCAGAAGGAGCCTGAAAAGAGAACCTCACACAAGACTTATGCTCTATGCATACATGAAGGCTGGACTGATATAAAGACTCAATCCTATATCGTCAATCACTTGACAAAGTCACAAAAGCCTAAAAATGGAGGGTCGAGAAACTCATACTGCAAACATCTCGAAGAATCAGACCAACAACATACATAAAGCCCATCTCGAAAAGAAACGCAATTCAAACAAATCGATATTCACAATTCTCTACTACTCCTACGTCGCAATGTATATGACGTATGATTTCTTTTTTGGCAATTCAGCAATCTAGGGATGAGCGACACACACGATCATGGTAGAACTCTATTTGCGTACACGGTGCGCCTTTTGTGAAACACATTCTGAAAGGAGTGTCGCAGTATATAGGGTAGAAAATTTTCTCCCATCCCTTTCTCAGCAGACATTGATAGTGAATCTTTTCCTAAAACATCAGATAAACGGTCGGTAACAAGTGTATCGTAAGAAATGAAACAGTACAATTTCTATTGAATTAGAAACGACAATTCCATCATGTTTTCACATTTTGAATCCCGCAAGAGATTGCGCTAACAACATTTTTAGTATGAAGGAAGTTGGGGAAGGGTAAAGGTGAGGTGAGGGGCGGGGTGAATTTTTAGAATATGACAGTTATACTTGAAATAATTATTTTTATATGATATATTCATCATGAGAGGTTTGCAATGATTCGTCTGTGTTATGCAGAAAATTCAGAGTGGAAAAGCGACCTTGATTTGTTTCCCGCTATCAAGAGCAGTAATTTGACAATCTTTCGTCAAAAATTCTCTTGCACTAGATTGAATACTTTTTAATTTGTATTCATGAAGCGTTCAGTTGTTATATTGTCATTTTTGTTGTCGAAAATATTAATTGTTTCGTAGAGGATACTAAAACACTATACGATGATTTATTCTTCATCAGCAGCACCTTTGGATGTAAAATAATTGAATTCTAATCTTCACTCAGTAGTACATTAATATGAAATTAATTTGTATGTGATATTCGTTGATGAAGTAGATCAGTTTGTTATAGTTTTGGTGGATCAGATGTTCTCTTTGATACCGGTAGAAATTCATCAGCTCATTTAATAATATCAATTGTTATGAGAAAAGTTGAAGTTTCAACGTAAATTTTACTTGTAATGACAAGCCGTTTCACTTACTGCGGTAGAAACAAACATTCGATTAAATTTTTATAGAATCATTTTATTCTATGAGGATCAATTTGATATATATGATATTTTGCTACGGGATATTTTGATAAGTCACAGAAAATTTAATGTGTTTTTTATTGAGATGCAAGAATAGAAGGATTGAAAACAAGAGGAACCTAATACTTTATTCTCGTAATAGTGACAGAACAATGAAAGCTTGTTTTTTAAACAGGCGCTGCTCGCAGTAACAATAGAGAGACAAATGTGCAAACATTTTTAGTAATTACGATTTGCTTTAAGTTGGATTGGTGCAGATTTCTTTACATCTATTTTTATACCTCTTATTAGTTCTAAGAAAACAAGCTCTTATACGATGAAGATATAAAGCTATGTTTGGATGTTAGCGTGGGATGCAGAGTTGATGTCTTCTTCCGCCACATACTCACACCCTCTTAGTTTCGTATATAAATAAGTCGGCACATTGACAATACTTCAACGATATTCAGCAGCTCAACTAAAAGTTCTTTATTCAGATTTATCTTCAAATTCTGCTAGACAAGGTAAACATGAATGATAAAAAGTTAGTCATTTGTGATGAATTATCATTTTTTTCAGAGCTTTCATTTGCAAATCATTTACTTCACTTTCCATCTATGAATCAAAACTAACAATGAAGATAATAATCCATGCGAGACAAAAAGAAATATTTGTTCACTATAAAAAAGCAAGCGTTCAATTTAAAAAAATTAACGTTTCTTTTCTTCTTGAAAAGTTTTCAAAAATCTAGACTTTTTTCATCAGAACATATAAAGGAATCTCTTTTTTAGAGTTCTCTTCGGTAAATTAAGTTGTTCTATCATTTAAAACAAGGGTTAAAAAAAAATGAACAGAAAAAAAATCTGCTTTTTATTTTTTGATAATTAAGTTCAAATCTGTAATATAATATAATATTAGTGGCTGTGCGTCAGGTAAAATGTAACTATCATTGTCTTCTTTTTGAATGTACCCATTTGCCAAGCATACCAAAATCGCCTGCATAAATTACACAAGTTACCGTATATTAAATGCGAAAAATAGAGGAAATAAATTTTTATGAAGATCTATTTGATTTACTCTATAAAAATATAACATTTCTAGCTGAGTAGTTCTTGTTTCAAAGCCATTATATTCAAAGAAATAAATTGGCACAATAGTGTAAGTTGCTGCGACGTACACAGTCAATGCACATTTAATTGTAATATGAATATCAATTGTATTTGTACTCTCACTCACAATCAAAGACAGATGCTCAATCATAACGATAATAATGAACACCGAAAAGATATGAATGATGTCTATGTATATTCCTACAATATTTACCAATTCAACACAAAAAATAAATAGAGCCATCTTTTTCGCATTTTTCGATGAAAATAGTTTTTGTACAGCAACATTTTCAAATAACATACAAATTTGATTTTTGTTTCTTGTCAAGGCTATTGCTTTATGCTTTATAACATTTATTAAACAACTACATAAGACTCTAATATTATACATACTGTCCTCTACTTTTTAAAAATCGATTGACTGGTTATCACTAATGGTTACGCGCGTCTTTACTCGACGAACGAAGAAATAAGTAGGAATCTTCTACAGTTGACTACGAATAAATATTAGTAATCTGTGACAAGTTGAATCGAACTAATATTGCATTTTTACACACACACACACCTTTAAATGGATAATATTTTTACAATAAGTTCGTTGAGTGTTTCTCAACAGCAGTTGCTTTTCACCCAAAAAAATTATCCAGTCAATGTTATGTATGTGGTAAAGTACATTTGGACATCAATTCGTCAGGTCACAGATCATACATCTGTGGTGTTCAGATTTAAACACACTACTCTTGAAGTATATGACGAACATCAAAACTGATGAACTATTTCTGTTGCATAATGCCGGCCGACTGAACATATGAAATCATGGGTGTGACTGGACAGATCAGAGTGTGTGGTTGTTGATCCATTCCTTCCCACACTCATACCAGTCTGAACATAATGCACCAGATACTCTTTTTAAAATACTTCTATATTTCATCCAACTATCCAGAGGAAAGTAAATTCCATACCAGAAAATAATAAGTGAAATAGATTTTTAGATAATTAACGAAAAGTAAATCCTCAAAAGCAAAAATTTTATTTTTTGTTTTGTAAACACAACCAATTTAAATTGAAAATAATCAATGAAGACAAATTCATCGAAAAATAAATCTTGTAGACCGCTGGAAATATCTTTTATCTATTGGTCGTTATTGTCTACATTTACGAAAAATTTTTGTGATCAAAGTTTAAGTTTTTTGATTGTCAAAAAATTGTTTACTCAAATTAGTCTTCTTTCTCTTCACAGACCATCCAACATAGAATAGGACAAGACAAAATATATGTATCGAGTAATACGGGTAGACTAAGATTAACGACGACATGAATAAATAAGTAGAAAAAGCTGTTGAACAAAATGTTCTGATATAGTGTATTTAATTTGAATGAAGTTCTATAAAAGAGAAAACTTTGTTTTATGCATTCCAACATCTTCTAATAGTTGTATATTGAATAGATGAAGAAAGTTGTTTTATCTCACTGGATTTCACAGAAGTTTCACTTTTCTTTTCTGATTATGAATTGACTTAAACAATTCGACGGTCAGAGATTAGTTCATTATGAATTAGAGAGAAAATCACTTTCATTGTTTTAGATATTCAATCAGATCTTATTTATAATACATAGCAGCTGCAACTAATAGTGATAATGAATTCAGTGAAGGTGTAGGATGTATTTGTCAATCATAATTGTTACAATTAACTTGTTTTTTATATCGTGACGCATATTGCATGGTTAGTAGTAAACAAACAAGATCATGAAGAATATTGTTGTATTCTTGAACAATAATAGCAAGAAATCAAGAATGCAGCAGATTCCAAAAACAGTTTGATCGTCTTTATAAGTCCATCGAATCGTCTAACTGATAAAAGAATAAACTTCATTCTTTGTTAAAAGAGCAACACATGAAAAAATGAAGTCGTGTAAAACTCTTCAATAGTCATTCAATAGATCATCGAACAGTACATGAATTGATGCTCATCAATATCATGCTTATTAAAATGAAAAAAAAATAAAGAAAAATTGTATTCTTTTAACAAATAAATAAATCCAAAAAACATAGAAATCTATCTTTGTTTATAGTCATATATATGTTGGCCATGAAATCATTTTCTTGAGGGTGTGGGTCATTTCTATAATTCATTTTACGCCTCTCCCCACACCCACACCCTTTTCCTCTTTATAATATTGTATAAAATAATAGTATGGACAATATTGGAAGTAGGGATCAATGATGCTATTGCACTTGTCGATGCTGCTTCTGCCACTCACATGATCTGAAATTTTATTTCCTCTACGTTACCTTCAATTAATATATAATAAAAGATAAAGTTTGTGAAGTCAAACATTTTCAATATATCTCTCTGTTTCTACCCCTAATGTCAAAATTATTTCGTGTATGAAAATAAACTCAGAAACATTTTCTATGCTAAAACAGTTGTTTTTATTGACGAACTCTTGTTTAAAAAAAAATAAAATATTCATTATATAATCAAGATTTAATCACTGCTTTTCTGAGAAAGAAATATTAAAATTCAAAAAAAGGCTACTTCTTCTCCGTTTTCCTTAAAATGTTGACTGATAACAAGAAAAACTTTATTGAGTTTTTCCGCCGTTTTTGTGTTTGCAACATATTTGGCCGCAGACTTCCAATTGTTGAGAGCGGATTCAAAATCATTGAGATTGTGATAGAGCAACCCACTGTGTAAATATAAATGATATAAGGTGCGTGCATCAATTCTATCAGCTATTTCGGTGCTTATTTCAATTGCTTTTTCATAATTCTTTAAAGCGTATAAGTCATGATCACAATTGTAATACAAATCACCCAATTCTTTATATATTAAAATCAATTGTGAATTGTTTGGTGTACAAAAGTTTCTATGGAATTCAATTGCTTTTTCGTAGTTGATCACGGCCGCTTTAACATGATGTTTATATTCACTTTCATTTTGCTCGATCGTTTCTAAAATGGATACATGTATCTGTCCAATGTCGGTGTACAGTTGTTGTAGAGTATCAACATTTTCTTCTATCCTTTCCAAGGCTATTGTCACAGCTTTTTCATAGTTGAATAAAGCTAATTTATAACATTTCAAATAAACGTATAAACTACCCAACAACTTGTAAACTAAGACAAACTTTGGGATAAATGATATTGATGAGTTAGTATAAATTTCTGCAGCTTTTTCTAAATACTTAGCTGTCATTTGACAGTAGAAATCTATTTTAATTTCAATTGTGCTAGTCGTCAAAATGAGGAAATAAATTGATCCAATTTCTATATATAGATCAATAAGATCAATGTCATTCTCAGTAAATATTTGTAATTTTGAATGTAGAGCATTTTCATAATTTATTAAAGCTTCTTCAATATTGTTTAGAGAATAGAATATTTGTGCTCTTTTTATATAGCAAACTGCAATTTCTTTGAAATTTTGTGAACAAGTGTACATTTCAATAGCTTTGAAAAAATTTATTAATGCACGCGATTCGTCATCTTGTTTACAATAGAGATTTGCAATAAAATAATAAATTTGTGCTTTGAGATCATAGTTGTTGAATAATGATTTATCATCCTGTTCCATCAGGATTAGTGCTTTTTCATATGTTCTTATGGCTGCTTCATAATTCCCTCTCCTAAAGTACAACGATCCTAATATGATGCAATCTAGGGCACTATTCGCTTTGCGTGGAAACGGTTGACGAGATTTTCTGCTAATTTCATAGCTTTTTTCATACAAATCCAACACGTCGTCAATATTAAATTTATCAATTAGTCTAAGAGTATCAGATAAATCCTTTGGTCTAAAATAACTTGTTAAATATGTTGAATTAAACAAGGGAATGTCGACTACTTTCTTCAATAATGTAAGCGCTTGATCTTTATCATCTAATTTTGCATAGACAAATGCCATTGAAGCATAAATTTTTGCCACATAGGTACTATCTGGTGGCAAATATAAAAGCGCTAATTCAACTGCTTTGTTATAATAAATTAAAGTAGCTTGATAATTAGCATTTTTTTTGTTAAGATCTCCGATCCACACGTATACTGCTAATATATCAGGATGACCAGATGGCAAATGATTGTGAATAATTTCCAATGCAAGTTCTGCATTATCTAAAGCACTTTTATAATCAGAAAGATTATGAAAAGTCTCACTGATCCCTAAAAACAAGTCTGCGAGCAATCGTTTATTTATTGCTTCTGTTTCTAAACCAAACAGAATTGTACGCGACATTTGATAATATTCTAGAGCTTCATGGTAGTCTTTTTTTTCATTGAAAATTTCTCCTATCTGCTGATAGCCATAAGCTTTCGCATTTTTGTCAAGCGTTAATTCGATTAATTTTTGATAGTTTGTAATTGCAGACGAGTAGTCACCACTTCTAAAATATTTTTCAGCTATTTTATCAAATAATATTGTACATGTGTTGTTATTAAGACTGTCAGTATCTCTTAGCATTTCTTCCAGTTCTTCTATAGTTGCTTCACTGTTTTCAATTTGTAAGAGTGTTTTATATCTTTCTGCTTTAGCCACATCCCCCATTAATTCCAAAATATAGATAAATTTTTTCATTGTCGGCTCATCACCAATTGCGTCTTTTAGATAATAATTCAATTTTTTTATTTTAGTATCAGTCTCATTAACTGATATTAAGTGTATATACCATATGTTATTATTAATGTTTTCGATAGACATAATTTGAAACTGTGATCCCACTGGCAAGAGTATTTCATTTTCATCTTTAAAATAACTATGTTCTTGTATATTTGCCAGAGGTTTGGTGAGAATGGTCATATCAATATTGATTTCAAATAGAACAGATTCGAACTGTGGTCTACGTGAACCATCACCAGCATATATTTCAGCCACTTCCTTATCCATTGATGTCGATACGAATGTGTTCATTGAAACAAGACCATTAATATTTTCCTTGAGCAACTGCAATTCATTACTAACCATAAATTGTCCACGATAGACAATAATATTAGATACTTCCGATTCTTGCAAAATTTTTAAAAAATCTTCGTGTAATACTTTTAATTGTTTGTATAAGTCTTTGACGAAAAAACGAAAAATAAATACAATATCAATATTTTCTGTTCGAAATGCTTTGTTCAACAGTCGAAAAACAAATGAATTACGTGTATACCAAGAAATGGCATTTTCAGACTTATAACATTGATCAAATTCGTCAATATTTTTTAGTACTGATTCGTTATCAGCATAGTACGAGCGGCATTGTTCAATCATATCTGCTTTATCGTTGTTACCATATTCCATTCGAATAAGAACTTCTAAAAGTGCTTCAAACCATAATAACGAGGCACTGTTTTCATTTAAATTACGCAGTGAATTTTCAATTACATCAGCATTTCTTGTTTGTTCAATAACATTTTGTTTTAATGTAGAACATAAAGTATTTCTATCAGTAAATACACCTTGAATCTTAGGATAATTCGACACCCATTGTTCATGTTTATCTTTATTTAAACAATATATATATATGTACTGAATTTGTTGGAGGTCATGTATATCTGGCACCAATTGTTCACCAAGCGCACCAGAGATAATAAAAAATATTTTCTCTGTATAATATTCGTATATACAGTCAATACATTCATCCATCTTATCAAATGTTTTTATAAAATTAATAACGCTGCGTAATTGCGCTTTAGTATTTAGACAGTCTTCCGATTTATTAACGCTAGCATCAAGCCAAATAACAGTAAAATCTTCAAGATTTATATTGCGACTAATTACTTCGACATTTTTGCTAGACGGAACATTTTGTTGTGGCAAAGTTTCAGATTCTTGACGACTGACAACAATATTGCATGTCATGGTGACGAAGTACTTTGCTATTGTAATTGATGCAAAGTAAAGGCTTTATATAACAGGATCAATATGCATATATATGAGAGATCTCTTTATTCGACTTCTTTCTACACAACTCCAATTGGAATGCCCAACAGAAAAAGACAGAAAGCGAAAAAAAACTATCGCCGTTGACCGGTGCTGAAGAATTACTAGTTCTCAATGAATAAAGTTGCATATTTGTGATGAGTATGATCGATTACTTATTCTTATTTCAATCTCCTTGACGTACTTCTGTTCGTATGCCCAAAAACTTGCTGTAAGAAAAGCTTGTAGGAATAGCGAAAAAGATAATTATTTCATACTGGATTCGGAGCTATACTGCTCTCAGCGCCTTGTCTCAAGCCATACGACTACATATGAAGGGCTCTTCTATTGTCGTTCTCGAGGGTGTTGGTGTGTGTTTGGCGGATGAAAACTATAACTTTCAACACCCACGTCCATACGACAGTTTTTCTAATAATCCATCATAATCTATTTTTTTTATGGAAAAATCAATTTTAAACGAAACAAATAGAAACATGCAGTAGTTTATGCTTCTTCGTTTGATTTGTCAAAATCAAAGTTAAGGGAAGCCAGATTTAGGTCCTTCTCCAACCGATAAAAATTCTCTTCCAACAAAATTAAAGTTCAAAAAGCTTATAACACCGATCACTAACGACAACACGTTCCTTTTAGCAAATCACATCCTACCGTAGAGTATAAATATCAGCATTATCTCAAAAAAACACTCCAGAATCTTAAAAAATCAATTTTCTCTATCTCTACTTATTGTTGGTTCTTACACGAGAATCCGTAGTTGTAAAGAACTGAAATGTCTTTTATGGTGGGCTCAAAACGAAAAGATGATGTCAATCTACTTACGATTAAAATATCATTTGAATCAGTGAGGTTGTTTTTTTTATCAGTGATTGACTGTTTCACATACGCGTATATCTTCGAAAGGGAGCGAGTTGGTTTTTTTCTAATTGACGTTGCTTACGTGTAAAAAGTAAGCATCCACTCTTGCATCACGCTGACGGGATGCACAAATATAATGCGTCATGCTATCGCACGTGTTCTATTTTTTTCGCAATATTGGTCCTCTGTATCGTTTATTTTTTAGCTTCCTTTGCACTGTCGTCTCATCAGAATGAGCCAACGTATGTTGATACTATCGAACATTCGCTTTCATCGACAAAAAGCAAATCCGGCGGCTACCTCTCATTTACGAACATACAGAAAATAAAGTGTAAGAATATTCATTTTTTTTAAATTTCGTTCGATTTATAGATAATAATTTACGTCTTTTTTTGTAAAATAATCAAAATTTATAGTGAGCTTTTAAAAATTTGATTATTGAGAACGAATACAGAGAGTAATTGTATTAAAAGATTTTAATAAACCAAGATTTCTAAATTCAATAGAACAGTTGTAATTCGCAAAAAGCGTTAGATGTTTGTTCAATGAGAGTGTGGATGTATGTCGGTGTTTGTTCAAACTAATTACAAACGCCTACACCAACATCTATCTACTGAATATTTTTATTTGTTAAATGATGATAAAAGCAACTTAAGAGAGAACGAGTTAATGAATATGTATGCGAAACAGCAAGATGAATAAATATATAAAATATTCGCAAGCGTAAATATATGACATGCTACCATAGATTGATGTACTTGATGGAATAGATGAGATAAATGAAGTTGATAAAGTCGATGAGTTAAGTGAATAATCTTCCAAACATTCACGTTTGAGTTGGTTGTGAAGCAAATCTAAACTATCAAGCTTGATGTGATGATAAAGTCTGAAGCAGTTAGCTAAACGTTGATCACCAAAATCTTGACATACACACATGTAAGTATTATCAAAAAAGCAAGATAAATTTAATGAACGATTTTGGCATGGCAAATGATAATATTTGATGCATTGAACGAGATGTATTTGAATTATGCTTTCAATAAATATTTCGCTTATGGATCGACAATGATGGAATGAATTAATTTTTTGAACAACAACTGATGAATATTCTATTTTTTCATTGGCAACCAAATAGTAATTTAATCTTGAAGTTTCGACAATAACAATATTAAATGGAAATGACCAATAACTAAAAGTTGAAGTACCATTATCACATATTTTGATGGGACTTATATTGTGTGCCCCTGGAGAACGAGTGAAAAAATGAATGAAATGAAAGAATAATCTTGTTATCAAGTACGTCACATTTTGCTCCATGAAATCCTTTTCGACAGATGCAGATATATGGTTGATCATATGCACTATGTTCATCAAAAGGTATACATATACCTCCATTTAAACATGAATTCTTTTGATATACGGTTCTAGTTAATAAACATTGAGAACCAAATTTGTTAAAAGCACATACACATATCGATCGATTAGTTGCTGCAATACTAATACATAACGAATCTTGTGAATATGTGCATGTATGAGGAATAAAACAGTATAGTCCAGTCCAATCTGGTTTACATATACAAAAACTAGTATGTTTCGTATCATTTATATATTGAATACATTGATGATTAGTACAAGTTTGGACAATATTATTTACATCTGGAATATTCAGTTGAATAGCAATTCATTCAATAGGTGAGAATGGAAATTTCAGAGGTATTAGCAGACGTCCTCGATAGTTTAATGTAATCATTTCATAAATATCAATATGTACTGAATATTGTCTTGCAAAACTTTTTGGTCGAAGAGAATAAAATAAATAGACATTAAATTTAACATATCGATCTCGAATAGGTAAATAAGACAGTTGTTCATATGAATGAATAATTCATGCGACACTATCAAGGATTAATGAAAAAGTACAAATAATGTGTGTCGAAATGTAAACGGTGCATTGAATTTGATATTGACAATGATCTCCATAATAAGTGAGTGGACAAAGACATGCTTGTGTTGTTAAATTCTTATCACTATCTAACAAAACTTGTAAGTGAAGGCTATGATGACAATGTTGTTCATATTTATTGATATTTGATGATATAGGTGTTCTCATTGCATTTGATTTGGATTTCTTTGATTGAACATCTGTTGATGTGGATTTAATCGTTTCGTAGAAATTTGTATAAGAATTTGTTTTAATCTTTAAATTACTTGGATCATTTCGAAAGAAGTCTTTGGATGTGGGTGTGGGTGTGGGTGTGGGTGTGGGTGTGGGTGTGGGTGTGGGTGTGGGTGTGGAGTGAGGGTGTGGGTGTGAGATGGTTCTGTCGTCTTCACCCACACCCACACCCACATCCCACACCCACACCGACACCCCACACCCACCCACACCCACACCCTCTCCTTGATTTCTAGTAACCATCTTTTTGAAACAGTAAAGCTTACAAGTATTTACTTTACATGCGAAACAAATTTGACTAAGGTTCATCACAAGATATTTCATGTATTTTATCTAGCCATTACAATATCAGGTTCTATAATAGAAACAGATAGGACCATCATTCGTGTCTGCAATGCATAATATAATTCTGTTTCGCACTATCTATAGAAGAATATGAATGCCGGTAGTATTGAGTTCTTTTGTTTTTGTTATGCAGTCACCACAAAACATTCTATAGTCATATCCACACTTGTCTATCATGTAAGAATTAAAACTGTGATTTAATGCCAATTCTCTTTTTTAAGTACAACTTTCAAATTACAAATTGCAAAAACGAACTTCATACAGCACACGTTGAACGTTGAAGCTTCAATTCAATTCAAATTTCTAGTTTTCAATATATGATAGATTATAGCAACCTTACCAAAATAAAAGGCTGTTTTTCATGAAAGGGTCGATCACTCTGTGAATTATAATAGCTAAACTAAAATTCAAATTCTATGTTTTATATTTAATTTGTTTCTTCCGCAAATCTAGAAAAAAATTGGTTCTTTTTCTATGAGTGCTCATTGATTGGGAATTTAAACTTAAACCCATTTAACTTAATTTTCATTATGATCGTAAATGAGAGGTAGTCTAAGTAGGAAATTGCTAAAGAAAATACATAAACTTAAATTAAAAACTAATCGAATAAATGTTCTTATGAAAATTGAAAGCTTCAAATAAAAGTCAAGGAACGTATCAATCGAAAAAGATATCAATGAACGATGTGAATATCGTTGAATCACAGAAAGATATTCATAGGTTTACAGATGAATGAAACCTATACTCTTAAGTATAAATTACACTCTATACATGTTTTGTAATTATCTTATACAAAAAAAAACTCGTCAACGATAATTTCTAGTACTATGAGCGATTGCTTCATAACATCATGGAGAAAATGAACATTGGTCAAATTCCTCATAGTAATAGTTACTATTGCTATTCACACCATCAGAATGGAACACAATTCCAAGACAAATAAGTCATCTTAGAGTATTGGATAACTAATAGATTGTGTTTTTTAAATTCAATTATTCTTAGATCTAAAGCTTAACTATGTGAGATAGTTTTTACCTTGTATATATATATATAATAAAATCTACTAATCAGTATTCATTTGTCTTAAAGAAAAATTACTCAGTATAATGGTAAATACACTGAAGATGTAATTTTTATTTGAAACTGGAAAAAGACTTTCATTAAAACTACATAAATAAAAAATTCTCTGATAATTGTTTTATATTTAGCGCAGTCTTTATTGAGTAGCAGAAGCAGATCAGTCTAGAACTAGGAGGTCGTGACTGCAGTGGAGATAACTTATTATTGTCTGGCACTGAGACCACTATAGTGCCTAATGTCAACTACATTAAAAAAGAAACTCACAATAAATATTGATAGAAAAAACGACTCTTACCAAAACTACAGCGATTAAATAACGCATGATCGTATTGCTGCGTTATTTTCTGGATCGTTAACGAAAGCTTAGTCTGAATGCAAGAAATCAGCCTTTTTATACTCTTTCTTTTATCTGACAAACTATATTGTGCATGCCATGTCACTCACGACTAGTTAGCACGATGTAGTTTTAGTTTTATTTTCTCTATTTGACCACAATATTAATAGCCAATGAAGATGATGGTTTCGAAGGTAATTTCTTTCTTTAATGAAAAATCACTGATGCATTGTGGTTGATTAGTTTGTTTTTTTCGTTTGCTCTTTTATTCATGTCGCGAACCAATCTTGTAGCTCTCTCATGTTAATTAGAATAACCTCTGAGGGCTTTTTCTCCTAATGTGCTTCAAATAATGCGAATGTGAGAATATTTTTTCTCATTCGGAGCACATAGTTCCTCTACACAGTGTTGACTGGGTAAATGATATGCGCAATTAATTTAATGATCTACTTTTACAGTACGTATGATATAGACCACAAGAGCTCTATTCACTTTATTAGAGTCAAAGCTCGAAAACAAGTACTTTTAAGTATACTGTCCAGGTAACAATCAAAGTACAAGTATAAACGACATCTGAAGAAGATTTTTATTTTGAAAAAAATATGTGAAACTACAGCTTATGCATAGAGGCATACAGTTTCGAATTACAATTAATCGTCAATTGAATAGATTGAATGAGTTTCAAATGATTCTAGAAGTTTTCGTTAAATAGACTTTCATATTCAGCATAAAAGATTTTAAAATAGATCATATCTTATAAAAATACTTTTATTTGTTGTGCATGTTCTTATCCTAATTCTGATAATGATATGTAAGCATAATGGTGAAAGTTTGTTTTTGAGTATTTTTGTTCAAGAATAATCAAGTGCAATAATAAAGAGTGTCGATGGAACTGTCGTTTTTACCGGCAATACTTTATCTTTTCTTTAATTTGGAAAAACTTGTCATTGTAGACACTTTGGTCCCGAAATTTGGAACTTTAATGTTCTTTAACCTCACAATATCAATAATAGAAAATTAGAAAAATATTCAAAGAAGATTTTTTTCAATTTCTGATGCACGCTATTATGTCGTCTTCAATGTTGTTATTTGTTCATTTTATTTTTCATTGGACAATTATATTATTATAATCATTGAATTAAATAACAAAATAAAACTGATATAGAGTGTGAATATGCATAATAATACATTAAGTAATTAACTAACATGATCCATTCAAGAAATCGTTCAAGATTCGTTTCAATCCAAGTGTTTCAACTTAACCACAAATTCCATCAAAAAATGATTCTTACTCATTTATGTCAATCAGATCAAATTTATTTACCATAGCATCATAATGTAAATTTAGTTGGTTAAAGAATTTCATTTATTTTGAATTTTCTTTGACTATGTTTTCAATTAGAATTAGACAATATCATATGCTTGTTCCATACAACTATTGATTCATGATTAGTCTTTTTTTCCATTATTTCGACTTAGTTAACCCTATAATATAAAGTTAAGAACTCTATTTAGTTTACATTTTGTGGTTACTTTACCAATATTGACTTCATCTTCTAGCTTTCTGAGAAGGTTCTCGTCATAATCGATTTTTCCATTAATATTGTTTAGAAAAAGGCAATATGATTACTTTTAGTTACTACCGATTCGTCTTATTATGATAATCTGACGAAAGTTTCTTCTAATATTCATCAAGATTTTCGAAGAACTCCATCTCTTTGTTGCATGGTTTTTATGTTGATAATTAAAAAAAACCTTATGGTAATTTATTTTACTCACCATTGTCTTCTAAGTTGAGCTATACATTATCAATACATACATATGTAACTCAGTCATGTATATCATTTTAAATCATTTTGGAACTGTAAATTCTACAATAGAAAATTAATCAAATCATCTAATGACATCTCAAAAGTCTGTTATTTAAATCACTATCATGATTAGAAATCGCCATGAAAATTATTTTTGATGACGATCATCATCATAGCTTATCAAATTTTTTTTATTTATATTAATTCTATTTGTTATAAAATGACTACTAACACTAATCATATCTAAAAGCAGATTCATTCTCATTGTTCAAGTTCTTCTTTACTTAACAGATAATATAAAAACAAAATAACGAGATAGTTTAGTTCAATAAATACTAAATTCTACCATTTGTTCACAAACTAATAGATGAAACCAGAAATATATTAACCAGATTATATTATTCTTGCTAGTGTCGATTAATTGCAACTACTTATTCAGTTAGGTTTTTCTAATTTTACTGAATGTGTGTTTTTATTGTTTAAATACTTTGATCTACCGTTAATTCATCGAATTTAATTAAGAAAAGACTAAAAGAAGAATAAAAAGTAGTTGTTAATATGGAAAATTTTCTTGTCATTCTGAAGAATTCTATAGCTTAGAACAGATTACTTTAAGACAGGTTTCTCTCAATCTGTAGATTTACAGGACATATGTATGGAACAATTATTGAAATAGAAATTTTACTTTGACGGTTGATCCATTTATCAAAGTATTGTTTTAAAACTGATTATCAATTCAGTTAACATTAGCTTTGATAATTAATATAATTTCGATACTTTTTCTTTTCTTTAGAATGGTTGCTTGACCGAATTGGAAACCTCAATTAACGATATGTCAATCTCCAAGATAAATAAATATCTATCCTTCTTAAGTTTAGTAAAACATAAGGAATTCAATATTGAATCTTCGTGATCATCAGTTGACTAATTTGTTATCGAGAGTATCAATTGTTTTGTGAAACATATGATCGTAACAGAAATATTAACTTAGATATCATTGATAATGATTCATAAGACTTTACATATATTGACTCTGAAGCTTATAAAACTCGATCATGGTAGTCTTGATTTGTCTAAACAAATTAAAGAAGTTTGGTTCTGTTGTATAATATCTCCGATAGAAGTAAAAAGGATTATTAATCTAAATAATTTAGCTTGATTATTCTGTTCGAGAATTACTTCGTTGATATAGAGTTCAGTTAAAACTTGACTTCTTATTCGAAAATTATTTAAGAAAACAACTTATCATTTTTTGTGAAAATAAGAATTAACTAAAATGTGAATCTTATGAAAACTAATTGAAAGATTTTCAAAAGATTAGAATTCCTTTTTGATAATTGTATCAGATCTATATTAATGAAAATTTAATATAATATTATCATATTATCTGTATTGAAAACATTCTGAACATATAAGAAAATAATATTTTACCTCTAAATAATACCTTTTAATTGAAATAAAATTCATCTAAATACAGATGTTCATTAAGACTTTCTCTATAGACTTTGAATATGAATGAATAAATCATAATGAACCTTAGAGTAATTTTCTAGAAAAATGATTTTAAGTAGATGAACGTTTAGTCATATTTAGTAATTCAAGAACTGTTTGTTCACCTTTCTTTATCAGAAATTTTGATCTCTGCAATAGAATTTGAATTGATCGACAGTATATTTCGACAAAGAGAATTCGCTAAATTCGATTAATGTAAATAAAATAGCAGCATGCTAATGTATATTAGTGTAAATCATAGGCTACGAGAAAAAAGAAGATAATTGCATAGATTGCATCTATTAAAATGTTGAAAATGTGTTTTCGTTTCTTTTTTCTTTATATTATCATATAATGAAAGACAAAAAGAGGCAATAAAGTGATGATGGTATTTCTCCAATATAGATGACAGTTATTTAGGAATAAGAAATAGAGGTTCGACCTCTATGAATTATCATATAATACAATCTGATCTATAAGTTTATATGACTTTACTCAAACTTTAATTTTTTAAAATCTATAAAGTTCATTTCATAAATGTATACTTTTAATCACTGCTGAATATTAATTTTGAGAGTTGTTTGTATAATAATATGATTTCTAAATTATAATTTATAATGATAAAATACTTGATACAGACAAAAAAAAGAAGTCATAGGTGAGTGATAGTAGAGTTAGGTTGTTATCTATATAGAAACGATAAACCATCACTTTCGTACCTCCGAACTTTGTTCATATACTAGAATAATATATTAAATTGATGTTGAGTAATAATATTTCGAAATAACATCGAAAGAAAAACAAAAGAATATTTTCTTACCAAGGATACTTTACTTTTATGTAGACGTTGTGTTCTCACAGTAATTACCCGATCTTGAGTATGAATTAGAATCAAAAGCACGTCTTCATGAGTATGAAAAGGTAATTTTAACAACATTTTATTATTGTAGAATACGTCGTGATTTAGAACTTCATATAAATTGTTAAAAAAAGTTTTATTTTTCGATTTTAAAGGATGTCATTTCAAAAAGTTACTATACTAAAACTTTAATTTATCTTTATATGTTGATTGAGTGTAGTTGAAGAGACAACCAACATGAAACACAGTTCACTAAGTTTTTATAGAATACCCAACTGAATCAAAAGCAGACTAAAATTGAAAAAATTATAGAGATGATACATACAGTTTCTTGATATGGGAAAATATCCAACAAATATATTTCTTCGACAAATTATCACTTTAAGTATACTTATAATTCATTGTTTTGTTGTTTTTTATAATTGTAATACTTTGGATTTTTAATCATTCGTAAAGAATGACAGATGTATGTTTGATATGGACTTCATCGTCATTAGATTTGATTAAATCAATATCACAACTTGCTTTGATAGAAATTCAACATCGAATAAGAATCTTAGTTAATGATATTATACAGATGTTTCTTTTTTAATAAGCATTTAATCAAAAAGTAATACTACAGATTTGTTTCTTATTTATGGATTCGAATCGATTGTTTTTTGGAATGATATAACTTTGGGCGAAACCATCCGACCGGGTCCTGACGGATTCCTGAACAATCCGACGTCATTTGGCTATCGGAACTTATCGGATACAATAGTATACCCAGCTCAATCTGAATCTATCCCCCCCAGATCTGGTGAAATGTTCACAAATATTTTTATTTTATTATAGTGCTTGCTTTTATTGCTTATTTTATTTCACTCTTATTAAGTTAATTCAATTGAATTCTAACTATTGTTATTTAATATAATGTAATTCAATTTTTATATATTTAATTTAATTTAATCTTTNTTATTAAAGCTTCTTCAATATTGTTTAGAGAATAGAATATTTGTGCTCTTTTTATATAGCAAACTGCCATTTCTTTGAAATTTTGTGAACAAGTGTACATTTCAATAGCTTCGAGAAAATTTATTAATGCACGAGTTTCGTCTTCTTGTTTACAATAGAGATTTGCAATAAAATAATAAATTTGTGCTTTGAGATCATAGTTGTTGAATAATGATTTATCATCCTGTTCCATCAGGATCAGTGCTTTTTCATATGCTTTTATGGCTGCTTCATAATTCTGTCTCCTAAAGTACAACGATCCTAATATGATGCAATTTAGGGCACTATTCGCTTTGCATGGAAACGGTTGACGAGATTTTCTGCTAATTTCATAGCTTTTTTCATACAAATCCAACACGTCGTCAATATTAAATTTATCTGTTAGTCTAAGAGTATCAAATAAATCATTTGGTCTTAAATAACTTGTTAAATATGTTGAACTAAGCAAAGGAATATCGATTGCTTTCTTCAATAATGAAAGTGCTTGATCTTTATCATCTAATTTTGCATAGACAAATGCCATTGAAGCATAAATTTTTGCAACATAGGTACTATCTGGTGGTAAATATAAAAGCGCTAATTCAATTGCTTTGTTATAATAAGTTAAAGTAGCTTGATAATTAGCATTTTTTTTGTTCAGATCTCCGATCCATACATATACTGTTAATATATCAGGATGACCAAATGGCAAAAGATTGTGAATAATTTCAAATGCAAGTTCTGCATTATCTAAAGCACTTTTATAATCAGAAAGATTATGAAAAATCTCACTGATCGCTAGAAACAAGTCTGCGAGCAATCGCTTATTTATTGCTTCCGTTTCTAAGCCGACCAGAATTGTACGCGACATTTGATAATATTCTAGAGCTTCATCGTAGTCTTTTTTTTTCATTGAGAATTTCTCCTATCTGCTGATAGCCATAAGCTTTCACATTTTTGTCAAGCGTTAATTCGATTAATTTTTGATAGTTTGTAATTGCAGACGAGTAGTCTCCACTTCTAAAATATTTTTCAGCTATTTTATCAAATAATATTGTACATGTATTATTATTAAGACTATCAGTATCTCTTAGCATTTCTTCCAGCTCTTCTATAGTTGCTTTGCTGTTTTCAATTTGTAAGAATGTTTTATATCTTTCTACTATAGCCACATCCCCCATTAATTCCAAAATATAGATAAATTTTTTCATTGTCGGCTCATCACCAATTGCGTCTTTTAGATAGTAATTCAATTTTTTTATTTTAGTATCAGTCTCATTAACTGATATTAAGTGTATATACCATATGTTATTATTAATGTTTTCGATAGACATAATTTGAAACTGTGATCCCACTGGCAAGAGTATTTCATTTTCATCTTTAAAATAACTATGTTCTTGTATATTTGCCAGAGGTTTGGTGAGAATGGTCATATCAATATTGATTTCAAATAGAACAGATTCGAACTGTGGTCTACGTGAACCATCACCAGCATATATTTCAGCCACTTCCTTATCCATTGATGTCGATACGAATGTGTTCATTGAAACAAGACCATTAATATTTTCCTTGAGCAACTGCAATTCATTACTAACCATAAATTGTCCACGATAGACAATAATATTAGATACTTCCGATTCTTGCAAAATTTTTAAAAAATCTTCGTGTAATACTTTTAATTGTTTGTATAAGTCTTTGACGAAAAAACGAAAAATAAATACAATATCAATATTTTCTGTTCGAAATGCTTTGTTCAACAGTCGAAAAACAAATGAATTACGTGTATACCAAGAAATGGCATTTTCAGACTTATAACATTGATCAAATTCGTCAATATTTTTTAGTACTGATTCGTTATCAGCATAGTACGAGCGGCATTGTTCAATCATATCTGCTTTATCGTTGTTACCATATTCCATTCGAATAAGAACTTCTAAAAGTGCTTCAAACCATAATAACGAGGCACTGTTTTCATTTAAATTACGCAGTGAATTTTCAATTACATCAGCATTTCTTGTTTGTTCAATAACATTTTGTTTTAATGTAGAACATAAAGTATTTCTATCAGTAAATACACCTTGAATCTTAGGATAATTCGACACCCATTGTTCATGTTTATCTTTATTTAAACAATATATATATATGTACTGAATTTGTTGGAGGTCATGTATATCTGGCACCAATTGTTCACCAAGCGCACCAGAGATAATAAAAAATATTTTCTCTGTATAATATTCGTATATACAGTCAATACATTCATCCATCTTATCAAACGTTTTTATATAATTAATAACGCTGCGTAATTGCGCTGTAGTATTTAGACAGTCTTCCGATTTATTAACGCTAGCATCAAGCCAAATAACAGTAAAATCTTCAAGATTTATATTACGACTAATTACTTCGACATTTTTGCTAGACGGAACATTTTGTTGTGACAAAGTTTCAGATTCTTGACGACTGACAATAATATTGCATGTCATGGTGACAAAGTCCTTTGTTATTGTAATAGATGCAAAGCGAAAGCTTTATATTACAGGATCAATATGTATATATATCAGAGATCTCTTCATTAGACCTCTTTCTGCACAACTCCAATTGGAATGCCCAACAGAAAAAGACAGAAATCGAAAAAAAAACTATCGATTACTCATTCTTATTTCAATCTCCTCGACGCACTTCTGTTCGTATGCCCAAAGAGTTTCTGCAAGAAAAGCTTGTAGGAATAGCGAAAAAGATAATTATTTCATACTGAATTCGGAGCTATACTGTTCTCAGCGCCTTGTCTCAAGCCATACGACTACTTACGAATATGTGGGGAGGGGGATTTGCGGATGAAAACTATAACTTTCAACACGCACACCCACGCCCATACGACAGTTTTTCTAATAATCCATCATAATCTTTTTTTTATGGAAAAATGAATTCTGAACGAAACAAATAGAAACATGCAGTAGTTTATTCTTCATCCGATGAAATTCTTTTCCAACAAAATTAAAGTTCAAAAAGCTTAAAACACTGATCACTAACAACAACACGTTTCTTTTATCAAATCACATCCTACCGTATAGTATAAATGTCAGCATTATCTCGAAAAAAAAACTTCAAAATCTTAAAAAATCAATTTTCCCTATCTCTACTTATTGTTGGTTCTTACACGAGAATCCGTAGTTGTAAAGAACTGAAATATCTTTTATGGTGGGTTCAAAACGCAAAAATGATGTCAATCTACTTACGATTAAAATATCATTTGAATCAATGAGGTTGTTTTTTATCAGTGATTGACTGTTTCACATACGCGTATATCTTCGAAAGGGAGCGAGTGAGTTTTTTCCAATTGACGTTGCTTACGTGTAAAAAGTAAGCATCCACTCTTGATCGCGCTGACGCGATGCACAAATGTAATGCGTCATGCTATCCCACGTGTTGTATTTTTTTCAAAATATTGGTCTTCTGTATCGTTTATTTTTTTAGCTTCCTTTGCACTCTCGTCTCATCAGAATGAACAAACGTATGTTGATACTATCGAGCATTCGCTTTCATCGACAAAAAGCAAATCCGGCGGCTACCTCTCATTTACGTCTTTTTTTTGTAAAACAATCAAAATTTATAGTGAGATTTTAAAAATTTGGTTATTGAGAACGAATACAGAGAGTAATTGTGTTAAAAGATTTTAATAAAACAAGATTTCTAAGTTCAATAGAACAGGTGTAATTTGCAAAAAGCGTTAGAAGTTTGTTCAATGAGAGTGTGGATGTATGTCGATATTGGTTCAAACCAATTACAAACACCTACACCAACATCTATCTACTGAATATTTTTATTTGTTAAATGACGATAAAAGCAACTTAAGAGAGAACGAGTTAATGAATATGTATGCGAAACAGCAAGATGAATAAATATATAACATGTTATCATAGATTGATGTACTTGATGGAATAAATGAGATAAATGAAGTCGATAAAGTCAATGAATTAAGTGAATAATCTTTCGAACATTCACATTTGAGTTGGTTGTGAGGCAAATCTAAACTATCAAGCTTGATGTAATGATTAAGTCTGAAGCAGTTAGCTAAACGTTGACCACCAAAATCCTGACATACACGTATGTAAGTATCACCATAAAAGCTAGATAAATCTAACGAACGATTTTGGCATAGCAAATGATAATATTTGATGCGTTGAACGAGATGCATTTGAATCATGCTTTCAATAAATATTTCGCTTATGGATCGCCAATGAGAAAAGTAGAATGTACATCCTTNTGGATACTGCAATCCAAAACTTACTAGACCACAGACGATAACGGAAAAAGTCTTATCCAAAATTTATTATCATAATATTAGTTGAAGTAGGATCAAATAGCATAGAAAAATAGAGCATCCTTTTCTCTATCAGGCTTATATAGAAAGAAAGATTTTTAAAGCTTACTATATGGCTAAGTAACGCCGTGATCAGAACTTTTGGTACACCCTAAGTATTAATGTTCTATACCACCAAAAGTGCTTGAGTGTTCTAACTGGAAAATCAAGAAACGCCAAGAATTATATTTTGGCTTAGATATATCCTTAAAAAGAGAATATTGAAGGCGATTCAAGTATCATACTATCGTCGATGAACATTTCCATATGTGAGTAAATTATTTTGAAGAAGCTGTTTATGACTTGATGAGATTTGAATTTTTTTTAAAGAAATCTTTTTGAAAGGTTAGAAAATTGTAGAACAAAGTCTGCAATATTTAAATCTTCTTTCGAAAGTTTATATTGTTTTATGTATGACAATACGGAAATATGAGCTTTATTCAAATAGATGACATAAAATACATTCTACAGATATGATCTACGGAGTCCAAAAATGATAATGACAATATTAGAATTACAAATCTAACTAGGTGTTTGTATCAAAAAATAATTCGTTATTTCCTGATGTTAAAATAAGCTCTAGTGAGGTTATACTCAATTGTCAAGAAATTTTCAAAATAAGATCACTAAAAGAAACATGTCATTTGAAGGTCTGCAAACTTTAATGATATGATCAGAACATGCACAAACTGTTCGATATACTTTGGCTCACTATGCAGATGTGTTCATATTCAGCATACGGAATGAGTTGAGAATTTATCCAGAAGTAGGTGACCTCTATTTTCTTCAGTATCTCTTCGTCCATCAATTATTTTTCAGAGTGAGCTCGAAATATTTGAATAAAGTTATTCTCTATCTCAATATTTTCAAAGTTAAAATTATTTTAATGGTATGTTGATGATAATTCTGTTTATTCTGAATCTAATATTTATAAATGTCTTTTCAGAACCTTTCTTTTGACACTTCTATATTACCGGCTGATATCCTACCAAACAAACATTTTCAAAAACACGTTTAAAACCACGAAAAGCGTCTTGAAAGTATAAAAAGTACGCGTTTTTTGCCTTTTTTGTGCGTTTAAACGCATTTTCAGCGAGAACACGATTGTAGAAACATATAAACGCACAAAAAGAAGACGAAACGCAGTTGTCTTCACGATCGTAAACGGTTATCACAATCCTGATGGCGATTTACGACTGGGAAGAAGATATCTGTGTTTTGTGTTCTTTTTATGCATTTGCACGCTTTACAATCGTGCTCTCGTTGAAAACACGTGTAAACGCGTAAAAGAGGGCAAAACGTCTACTTTTTATATTTTTAAGACACTTTTTCATACGTTTAAATGCGTTTTTGAAAATATTTGTCTGCTTGGATATCCTTTCGTTTTGCGACGAAGAGTTTTACACAATGGTTGAAAAAATTGCTGGATCAGCCGAAGCTAAATTGCTAGAAGCTCAAGGAATTCGAAGTGCATATTTGTTTTTCAACATGGAAGATGTATCTGGTATTCTTTCTATTTCACGCTCAGCCTTAAACGATATTAAAAGAGTTGTTTTTGCTTTGAAGCCGATGATTATACTTACACAATGAAAACAGGTTGTCGTGGTAGTATTCGATACCTTTATCAACTTCTCTATCAAAAATACGACGAACATCTTAAGACCCCCACCCTAAAATCGATCTCAGCCCAGGAACGTCCAAATGACATGAAATTTTCAGGATATGTTGAGGGTATTGTAGAATATCTATGATAAAATTTTCAGCTCGATATCATGATGTTTACCGAAAATACCAGCCAAATAAGGCTGCAAAATAGCGAATTTGGTTTCCCAAAATTCTCAGTCCAGGTCCATATCATGAATTTATTTTTTTTTGTTTGAAAGAGCATGTCAGGGTGCAGAGGATGACAGAACTCTTTTTTTTTGAATACTTACTTTTTTAAGGAAAAATAGGCATTGAAAGTTCACTGATTCGCAAAACCCTGAAAAATGGGTGTCGAGTGATATAAATGTCTATATATATAACTAAAAAATGTTTAATTCAAAAAAAGGACACTGTCAGTCTCTGCGCCCTGACACGCTCTTTCAAACAAAAACTAATATAAATACATTGAATCAGTATTAACAGAGGAATTTGGAAAACGAGCTCGAGAAACTATAAACGAAGAAAAATCGAAAAAGATCTTTTGTTTTTTTTGAAAATAGCTTGTTTTTCAAATAGAGACAATCGAGGTCTTCAAATTTTTTTTCTGGAAAAAAGAGGTATTGAGGAAAAATTTTTATTGTTTATGAAAGATCTAAAGACGGGCTATCTTCTTCTGCACTTATCTCAATTTTGATCATTCTGGCGAAAATTAACTTTTTTGTGTGGGTGGGGGGAGGGGAGAGGAGACCTTAAAGAACATACATTAAAATCTAAACGATTAAACCTGTCATCATCGGTGAACAACAATTATGTTCTTCGAGAAAGTTTTCAAGATTTTTCTGAAACTGACTTAGTATCAGCTGTTCCTCAAGCAAAGAAGAAAAGGTGAATATCCGGAATCGCCAATTCATGAAGAATCCCAAAATGATTCAGAAAATCTAAGAAAATCCCTAAATCCACCAGCAATGTCCTCTTATAAATGAAAGAATTTTGAGCCAAAATTTTCATCATATGTAGAGCTTTTGATCCTTAAAATATCCTAAAAGTTTCAATGCAAACGGATNTGTCAGAATAAGCTCATATTTTGGATTTAATACTAACTATGTAAGGCCTTTCTTTTAAGATAAATAAATCAAAAATCAAAAATTTTTCTCCAGCCAAGTTACCTGGTATTCTGGCGGACCCTCTCTTAACTGAATCAGCTGCTAAATGGTTTCGACACAACAAATTAAATATTTGTGACTGGTCCACGTTTAAAATAGAAATTCTTAAAGTTTATCGTCCATCACTTGATCAAACCTTATTGAAAATGGAACAACGACAACAACTATCTAACGAATTAGTTATGGAATATTATTACGATAAATTACACTTATGTTTACAAACTGATCCAAATATGAGTCCACCTATGATAATTCATTATTTGATAAAAGGTTTAAACCCTTCATTAATTTCTTATGTTGTTCGTCGACATCCTTCAACACCTGCTGAATTTCTCGTTATCGCTCAGGATGAAGAGAAGATTCAACAGATGTTACAAGGTTTAACACAAAAGACAGTTGATCCACATGCAGATGATGATGATTCAAATGATAAGGACCCTGGCGATGAAACGATCGCATTGGTGCAACGATCTACATATACAAAGTCACGCTCATTTAATTCTCCACAGCAGCAACGTATAACTTCTACACCTCAACCACTCATGAATTCACACTTTGTTTACAATCAACCATCATATTCAACTCTTCGTTATAATCGTTCAAACCCAACATCAACTTTCACATCACGTCAATGCTATGTATGTCATGGATTTGGTCATATTGCCAAACATTGTCCCAATCAAAAAAACGTTCGACGAGGTATCTAGATGGGGATACCTCGTGGATTAAAAAAACTCCATCATCATCATATTTATCATCATATTCATCATCAATCAAAGTTCCTGTTAACAACTATATAACAAAAGTTTTAGTCGATACTGGAGCTGCCCTATCACTTATACATGAAAAAACTTTACAATGTATGCGACATTATTCAATCACGTCATGTTCTTTAAAAGAAGTTCATACTGCTAACAGTGGATTCATATCTCTTCTTGGATTAGTGAATCTTAAGGTAAAAATTAATCATATTATTACTACTGTTGATGCATATGTTACTCGTGATCTTGTTTGTCCAATGATATTAGGTCGAGATTGGATTCAAAAACATCATGTTAATATTAATTTTTCTACCAATCGTATTTATATTTATGATAGCAGAACATCTGTTCCATTATTACCTGTATCTTCTACCGAACCATTAACCATGTTACTAGAACATTCAATTGTTATTCCTCCATTTCATGAAAAATTTATTCCAGGTTACGTTCCTATTCATTCATTACTAAATGTAGTTTTCACACCGAATTTAGCTCTACAAAAGTCCAAACTCATCCTGATCCCACATTCAGTTCTTCATATTCGTGATTATCATGGTATCATTTCAATCAAGAATAATATCCAACGTCCAAAAACTATACCACGTCATACTCCATTAGGATCTATCATTCCATCATCTGAAGATCTTCATATTAACACTATTCCTGAAATTTGTGATACTACTAGTCATTTTTCTTCTTCTCCTTTACCATTATTTTCATGTATTCATTGTGCTGTTGCATGTGCTACTGAAACAGATCTTTATGAACATCTACTTGCTTGTTGTAATAACCATTCAACATGTACCACAACAACAATTGATAAATTCGTCGAACATATTGATGATTCATTTCAACGTATGAAAGCCTATTTAATGCTCCATCAATATTATCAACTTTTTGACGTTTCATCTGCAACAGGAATAACTTGTACACCTCAGCGTGCTATTAACACGGGTTCTCATGCTCCTCTAGCAGTACCCCCACGTCCAGTTTCACATCTTAATCGACAGATCCTCAATGATCAACT